CTACAAAAGGTTTTACTGTGCGTGAAGTTTGAAATGCATTCTCTAATGTGATGTAGGTATAAAAAAAAAAAATGAACACACAAAAAAACATGAACTCTGGCTTGGATTCAATCACATCGAGCGTTAACCAACATTGTCTGACACCCAAATAGCAGATGTTTTGGAGGTGTAACTGCGGTATGAGCTGACATATCAGTGAGCGGCTGCTCGTGTTTCAAAAACCACTCCCTTCCTTATTAATCCTACTGTGTTAGAAGTTCAAAATGGCGCTAGAAAGTGTAGGCTCTATCGATAATAGGAATGACTCCCAAATGTCAAACCATTGATGTTAGGCTAATGTATGTTTTCATGTTAATTTGAATTGGGGGATTTATGTCTGTCAGTCTATTTAGAGTGTTTGAACTTGTAACGATGCTGCATGACTTTGTAACGCGGCTGCATGGGATTTGTCGGATTATAGTCAGGTGTGGTTTCGTTGCATCAAATGGCAGTGTCTGCGATAAGGTAACGCAACGAGCCGCTTGTGGATTTGACAGCTGTAAAGAGTGGCAACCCGTCATTCAAACTGATATGTTTTTTTGGGGGGGTGGTTGCCTGTTTTGCATGTTATTTTGGCATTAATATGTGTCACATATTAGTTTGCAAACAATGTAAAAAAACAAATAAGTAATAATTGAGTCAATAAAGCCTCCATACAAACATGGTCTCTTTTTTGCTTTCTTGAGTAAGGCAGCTCCAAAATGCAGATGTTTCAGCCTAGCTTAGTGCTTTGTGTGGTGGTGTTGGGGCAGCCAGCGGAAAATACAGAGTGTTGGTAATATCCTCTAGTTGTGCTGTGATTGGCTCAGTGTTCTGTCACTCATGGGGACACTACGTCACTGCCAAATCTCAGGGTAGAACTTGAATATTCAAGCCCCTTGGGTGCTGCCATAGAGTTACAGTACATTAGAAGTGCCCATCCAAGAAGGCTCAAGGTCATTGGCCACAGATAAAATGACGTCAAATCACGTTATATCTACAGTAGTTTTGATTGGATTGATCATGTCAACATCATACTTTCAAAATCTTAGCTAGCAGTCATCATCTTGAATCAAGTCGACAATCTACTGGCAAATCCTTTTTAATCCTTGTCAAATGAAGAGAAATTATGAAGAGAAATTATAGATAAAATGTATCGGTGCTCATCGGCTATTGGAAATAAACATTACACAAAAAGTTGGAAATTGCAAATTCAACAATGAGTGGTTTGGAAGGGATCCGTGGCTAACTGCACTAGCCTGCTATTCAGTGGAGTGGGTGTGTGGTCCAAGTGTGGGTTTAAGGGTCTCTTTTCCAAGCTTAAAATGATAAACATTCAACATTGGCCATGCTATCAATCCAGCATGATTTATGCCGCGCTCAAAACAACTGTTTACTCAGAACTGGGAAATCTGACTTCAGTGAATTCAAGACAACTGGGAACTCTGGAAAAAACTAGCTCTGCCTGGGAAAATATGTTTTACACGGAATTGTAAGTCGGGAACTCTGGCCTCTTTCTAGAGCTACGACCTGAAGATCACTGACGTCATCATGATTCGACCTTGATTTTTTCAGAGTTCCTAGTTGTCTTGAAAGCACCATAAATCCAGAGAATGACAGACTTTGATGACAAAGTTTCATGACAAAATTTGCCCACGAAAGACCGCTGCGCCACCTTCCTGTTCAAGTGAGCACAACACATCAAGGTGAGTCCAAAAATGTATTGTATGCTGCTGCATAAATTATGTAATATGCCAGGAAGATATGTATATTGTAGCTAAGAAAGTAATACTAAGTGTATGTTGTGTAGTAAGCTGTTAGTAGCCCATGTGCCTCACCGTAATCATTTTGTCTATTTTCCCCTCTTCATTTCTCCTACTGTTCTGACTTGGTGGTGCACATGTTGTCCATAACCTGTTTTAGAGAAATGTAATCATCGAATATTGTAAGAGCTTTCATTGTCTGCTTATATGCCCCCTTTATTTATCCTACGGTTCTGACTTGGTGTACAGGGAGAACACTGTAAGAACGGCCCATGTTCTGAATTCTGTCGCTGTACATTTCAAAAGTGCTGAACAAATAGTTATATTGACTACGTCTGTTCTAGCTCGCTCATTAATGTCTTCATCGAAATTACGGATTGCCTCTTATCCGCTTCTCGTCCCCTTATGCCATAGTTTGTACATTGTCAGTAGAAACCACATTTGTGTAAATAAAGCTGAATGAACTGTTTCGCTGCCAGACAAGGCTCCGCTGATAGCCAGGTGTAGCAGTGGTAATGTGTTGGGGCTGCTGTTGGGACTGTGCTGTTGGGACAGCTTTATGTAGTCCCGAACAGTTTGTGGGCACCGTTTGTCACCGTTATAGTGCAATTAATGTATTGTTTAGTTTTGTGTTGTGTAGTGGCTTTGCTAGCATGCATCCCCCCAAAACATTTTTTTATGTGCCCCACGAAGATTTACATGCTAAAATCACCACTGGCTGTAAAGCAGTTCCACCGCCTAAACAAGGCTATGCGGATGTCAATCTGATTTTAATATAGCCCTCAGTCGTCTTCCTCAAATTAAGGGGATGATGACGCAATCTTTGCGAGAGGGAGGGAATCTGATTACATTGGTCCTCAAATCGCGGCTCAGACTCTTCATTCAGAATAAACGGAGCCCCAGAGCAGGTTATTTGTGAAGGATTCATTACCATAGAATTTTACCAGGCTAAAAAGGTGAGCCACTTTTGTGTCACTGGTTATCCCGAGTTGAACTCAGTTGACCAAAGTTGCCTCGCTAACTCCTCAAATCTGATCCGTAGTATAGGGCTTTGGCCTGCTCCTGCCAAGCCTTCTAGCTCTCAGTGGTCTCCACAGGTCATCTTGTTATGAGCTTGGGGCCTGGCCGCTGTAGAGGCGCACTGCTGTGGTTCTGAACTATCCTTCAGAGCGCTGGCTAGCTGTCCCGAAATCAAACCTCGGTGCACTATTCCATAGGCAAAATATTGTGGCTCACAGGTTAACATAGAGTTCTTCATATAGTTACAACATAAAAAGTTATGAGATGATGGTTATTTTGCTGAATAAAATGTTAATATTAGTGTTAAATAACTTGATTACAGTGTATTTCGTTAGTCTTGGCCACTCTGTATCCTACATAGGGCTTCCAATTTCCTATCATTGATAGCAATCTCTCAATGACTTCATTTGTCCAGAATGAAATACAGTAGGTCAGGTTAGCCCAACCTTGTTTTTGGAGATCTTCCAGTTAGCCCTAAAATCAGAACTTTGATTAATTAATTAAACTTTGTGCAATAATAGTTTGATCTCCATTAATTAGGATAATATGTAAATTAACAGAACTCTTAACCATTTAAGCTATAGCATAAAACCAACTTTAAAATGTTCAGGCTAGCCAAACAGAAGATTAGGCCTACATGAACATCATAGTGACCTGTAACGTTTTACATTTGTATATAACAAATGGAAAGCATTTTACAATGTAGGCCTAAAGATTACAGATATAATGATACTGAAGATTGGTGGTGTAAGATAGAAACATCAATCCAATTTGACAGTATAGGTTATTCCAATTTGCAATAGCCTAGACTTTATTAGATTTATTAAATTAGCCTAAATGAAAATGATGGGGAATGTGAGCATGTTTTTGTTTTAAAATGGCCAAATCACCTTTTAAGTAACATCAAACCAAATATGGAGTTGATTTCAGGTGATTTAGAAGAAAAATAAATTAAACATGCTCACATGCCCAATCACTTCCATAGATTTTTAGCTAGCGGTGGGTGGCTCAAGTTAGCTGAAGTTTGTAATGACTGTTTAAAGAAACTGAACCATGGATTACAGTTTCTCCTGGCCCATAGACTACTTTCAGGGTGAGAAACCATCTAACATCAAGTTGTAAAATAGTGAACTACTCTTTTAAAGGTATACACAATTTAATAATTCCATTCATATCCATGGCATGTAATGCTATTAAAATTCCATTCACGTCCATGGCATGTAATGCTTTTATGTCAATATTTTTATCAAATCAAATGGAATATATCCTTTATTAAATAACACACATTTTAGTGCCAATATTAAGCCTTTGTCTTGTCCCCTAACCCATTTCGTAGATGGCCATACAACAGTTGCAACAAATACATTAAAACGCTAAGTAGTCACAATTCCAACATAAAAGATTTCTTCTGAGTTTTGCCATTCACATTTTAGACGGTAATACCTTGAAACCAGAACTATCAGTCTGAGAACAATGAGTATGTTTACATGCACACAAATAATTCAATATTAAACTGATTATGGCAGTAGACAGATTATGTATTAATCATGTAACTGCCTTCCTCTGCTTATCTTAAATTGGTGTAAGGTCAAAATCAAAGTAAGCATACGCCGATTAAAACACCTGGTTTTCTGAGCAATCTTTCAAATTATTAGGACATGTAAACGCCTTATTAATTGGCGTTCCAGCGGAGTATTTGATCTGTGCATTTTCAAGCACCAGCCGAGCGAGCCTCCCTCTTAAACACAAGTGAAGTGAGTTCGGAAACAACAATCTATGTGTAATAGAAGTCGTTTTCAAATACAAACTTTATATGTCTGAACTCGGAATCAAAAAGACTAGAACGTTTATTTTGATTGCCGATTTTCGGCATTTATCAGAGTGCCATCAGGTAGCCTGATTTCAGATGTGTCCACCATGTAAACAGGATTATAAGAGAAATCGTTCCGCTTGCAAAGCATGTAAACGTTTTAATCGAACTATTATATTAATCTGACTATCCACAATAGTCGCATTATTGTGTGCATGTAACCGCACTCAATGAGAGTGACTCCTTTTCACCCTGCGTCAACTCATTTCTGAGATTACTAGAATAAAACACAGTAGTCGGCGTACAGGATCTGGTACATGTATTGTATGAAATGAAAGTACAACATTGTAGTGCCGCAGCAATATGCACAGTGTTGTGTCTTGATGGGCAATCAAGCACACTGGAGTCCATGAGAGTCTTTCCCTTGACCGTCTTTTCCTTTATTCCATTGATTGGTCTTTCAGGTCCTGACCTTCACTATTTGTTCTTCAAACCACCAATAAGGCTTAATTTTACCACCCTGTGAACAAGAAGCATAACACACAATAAGATTAATTATATTAATTTTGAACCTTATTGTCGTCATCGTCATGATCCGTAAAAGACAAAATAATATTCATTATTATTGTCATCGTCAACATCCTAATCAACAGTACTGAAAGCAATGGTTGAAACTAGGTTCTTCAGAAGAGGGAGAACCTTAGAATGGGAGTTTTCCCATTATGTGACACGTTTCAGGAAACTAGGAGTCACTACTTCACAGGAGAGGCATTTTTTTTTGGCAGAAATGCCTTCTGGAACATGTGAACTTTCATGTGCCTTTAATAACAAACGTGCATGCCATCTGTAAATACAAATAAAATGGTTAAATTACGAGCCACAGAAAAAGACAGCAACCTTCCCACTAGCCATGGTTGGCTGAGATAATGAGTGGGCTGGACAAGCCAAGAGAGGAGTTTGGATTGGTCTGCCATATAGAACGCTTCTGTCTATTTGAGCTGGTCAGTAGGTGTAGGTAATCCTGTCTAACGCAGCTTTTTTTAAATGTATCGTGTAGTGTTTGAGTTTGAGTTTGAGTTTGAGTTTGAGTTTATTTTTACAGGGACAGTGCACATTAATCAACGTTTCAGTAAAAGTGCCGGTTTTAGCCAGCCGGCTAATTTTCAACCGCAGTCCCTGGGCAGGTTATTAAAAACAATTACAATATAGACAATAACAACATAGAACAAGACATAGCATACAGACATAGCAACATAGGACAAGCAAGACGTAGCATACAGACAGAGCAACATAGAACAAAAAGCAGCAAGACAAAATTCATAAAAGCAACAAAGTGTTTCCACACCTCACAAGTTACAGACAACAGACATGGAAAGCGGCAACACACAGCTAGGGACCATGTTCACAAATCTGATTGACCTTTAGCCATGTCTTCAAGCATTTTGTGAAAGTGTGATATGTGGTTCCACTAGTGGAGCTACATAAGTGTTGCTCTCCACTTTTTGGAGGATCTAGTTTTGAAATTACATTTTACTCATTTAGCAGACACTCTTATCCAGAGCGACTTACAGTTAGTGAGTGCATACATTTTTTATAAAAAAAAATCATACTGGCCACCCGTGGGAATCGAACCCACAACCCTGGCGTTGCAAACGCCATGCTCTACCAACTGACCTACATCCCTGCCAGACATTCCCTCCCCTACCCTGGACGACGCTGGGCCAATTGTGCGCCACCCCATGGGTCTCCCGGCAACGGCCGGCTACGACAGAGCCTGGATTTGAACCAGGATCTCTAGTGGCACAGCTAGCACTGCGATGCAGTGCCTTAGACCACTGCGCCACTCGGGAGATACAATCAGCAAATCAACAAATAAATCAGTGGAATTAGAGTATGATAGCTAAAGAGATCGAGAAAACCCCTGTCTCCAGATTACATCTTCAAACTAAGGGCAACCATGGCATCCGTGACAGGGAGACTCGTCCATCATGCATGATGTATACAAGTAAGATAGTCTAGCTAGATACATGTTGAAATAATACACATTTCTAATTTTGACATAAAGTGGTTTCATTTCAAATTAAAGTGTACTGTTAGCTAGCTAACGTTAGCTGGCTGGCTCGCTAGCTAACGTTACGTGTATGATGTTATTATTCGTATATTAGAGCCGTTTGCTTGGCTAATTAGAGCCTAATGTTAGCTAGCTAACATTGAACCTGGTTGGTTAGTGACCAGCAGATTCATGCAGGGTAGTAACATAATGAGCTGGCACTATGGTTAATTGTTTAACTAGCTAACGTTTGCTGGCTGGCTGGCTAGTTAACGTTACGTGTATGATGTTATTATTCGTATCTCAGAGCCATTTGCTTTGCTAGTTAGAGCCTAATGCCATTGAACCTGGTTGGTTAGCTACCAGCAGATTCATGCAGGGTAGTAACGACATGAGTTGGCACTATGGTTCATTGTTTAAATAGTTAACGTTAGCTGGCTGGCTCGCTAGCTAACGTTACGTAACGTGTACGATCTTACACGTTGTTTACCTAGCTAGGTTCATTGTTAACCTAGCTAGGTGCATTGTTTACCTAGCTAGCTACAGTTGAAGTCGGAAGTTTACATACACTTAGGTTGGAGTCTTTAAAACTCATTTTTCAACCACTCCACAAATTTCTTGTTAACAAACTACAGTTTTGGCAAGTCGGTTAGGACATCTACTTTGCATGACACAAGTAATTTTGCCAACAATTGTTTACAGACAGATTATTTCACTTATAATTCACTGTATCACAAATTCCAGTGGGTCAGAAATGTACATACACTAAGTTGACTGTACCTTTAAACAGCTTGGAAAATTCCAGAAAATGATGTCATGGCTTTAGAAGCTTCTGATAGGCTAATTTACATCATTTCAGTCAATTGGAGGTGTACCTGTGGATGTATTTCAAGGCCTACCTTCAAACTCAGTGCCTCTTTGCTTGGCATCATGGGAAAATCAAAATAAATCAGCCAAGACCTCAGAAAAAAATGGTAGACCTCCACAAGTCTGGTTCATCCTTGGGAGCAATTTCCAAACGCCTTAAGGTACCACGTTCATCTGTACAAACAATAGTACACAAGTATAAACACCACAGGACCACGCAGCTGTCATACCGCTCAGGAAGGAGACGCGTTCTGTCTCCTAGAGATGAACGTACTTTGGTGCGAAAAGTGCAAATCAATCCCAGAACAACAGCAAAGGACGTGAAGATGCTGGAGGAAACAGGTACAAAAGGATCTATATCCACAGTAAAACGAGTCTTATATCGACATAACCTGAAAGGCCGCTCAGCAAGGAAGAAGCCACTGCTCCAAAACTGCCATAAAAAATCCAGACTACGGTTTGCAACTGCACATGGGGACAAAGATTGCACTTTTTGGAGAAATGTCCTCTGGTCTGATGAAACAAAAATAGAACTGTTTGGCCATAATGACCATCGTTATGTTTGGAGAAAAAAGGGGGAACCTTGCAAGCCGAAGAACACCATCCCAACTGTGAAGCACGGGGGTGGCAGCATCATGCTGTGGGGGTGCTTTGCTGCAGGAGGGACTGGTGCACTTCACAAAATAGATGGAATCATGAAGAAGGAAAACAAGTGGATATATTGAAGCAACATCTCGACATCAGTCAGGAAGTTAAAGCTTGGTCGCAAATGGGTCTTCCAAATGGACAACGACCCCAAGCATACTTCCAAAGTTGTGGCAAAATGGCTTAAGGACAACAAAGTCAAGGTATTGGAGTGGCCATCACAAAGCCCTGACCTCAATCCTATAGAACATTTGTGGACAGAATTAAAAAAGCGCGTGCGAGCAAGGAGGCCTACAAACCTGACTCAGTTACACCAGCTCTGTCAGGAGGAATGGGCCAAAATTCACCCAACTTATTGTGGGAAGCTTGTGGAAGGCTACCCGAAATGTTTGATCAAAGTTAAACAATTTAAAGGCAATGCTACCAAATACTAATTGAGTGTATGTAAACTTCTGACCCACTGGGAATGTGATGAAAGAAAAAAAAGCTGAAATAAATCAATATCTCTACTATTATTCTGACATTTGACATTCTTAAAATAAAGTGGTGATCCTAACTGACCTAAAACAGGGAATTTTTACTAGGATTAAATGTCAGGAATTGTAAAAAACTGATTTTAAATGTATTTGGCTAAGGTGTATGTAAACTTCCGACTTCAACTGCACGTCTTAACAAAAGACGCCACTATGCAAGTAACCATTTCGAGTGCGTTCGTAAATTCAGTGTTGAGTATGCCAGAGCGCAGAATAACTGATTAATTTACAAACGCGCAACACCCGTTGAATATGGCCGGTGTCAGTTAATGTCGGCAAAAAAGTGTAATTAAATTGTTGCCAGCAGAGCTGGTTAGGCTGTTTTCATGTTATCCAGAGGTAAACAATTAACCATAATCCCAATTTTGTGTCTGAAAGTAAATAGCAAGCTAAAATAAATAGTTATCATATTGTAAAAGCAGGTGAGCTGGTTCTACTCTTTTTGGCAATTTTTCTGGTGTTTTGTGGTGGAAAACTGAGCAGGTCGAGCATAACACGTCAACCCTGTTAACCTTGTTAACCCTGTTAAACTGCATTAAATTGCCCCTCCCTGTTTCACACAATAAGCTTCCATTTCCCCTATCACAAGGGGATTTATGGCTGATTTAAAATGAAATCGTGAACCCTGCAGTAAATGTTTTTATTTAACCTCTTGAGATGGGCCAAAACATTTTTTATTAAGTCGAACATGTGCTCTTTATGACAGAATGTAAAAATTAGGTGAAATTAATAAGTATTTAAATTTACACCAAGTTACACTTCTCAAAAGGCACCGAATTGGTGGAACGATCCTGCTATTTCTTTATGAGCTCCAGACAATGATTATCTGTAGATAAATTGTAAAAGCATTCTCTGAAGATGGTGATTCCTGAGTCACTGCTGGAACAATAGGTAGTCGGAAGAGAGCCTCATTCTGGTCCACCCTCAATTTTTGCTATGTACAGTATTTGTTTTTGCTATGAAATGTGCTATTTTTCATGTTTTTTCATCCAAATGGACAGCTCATTTAGGTGAGCGGAGCCAAAAGATTTGGAATGCCCGTCGCTACTGCTTGGTTGGAACAAAAGCCTCCACCCACACTGGTCCTTACACGGACACTTATAATAAACACTTCTAATTAACTCATTTAAATTGAACCAAACATGTCACCTGAGGGATAACTGACCTCTCTCAGTTGTCAATGTCTGATAAGTGGTTTTCTATCTGAAAAGAAGAAAACAACATAGTAAGCAGTGATACCGTTTAACACCACTGACGTTTTAACTAATCAACTTTCAGGATTAGACCCACCCCATTGTATATTGTTTAACAACACACAGTGGCTTACTCATAATGCTGCTTAGGTATCATCCACATGGGCAAAAGTAGTGCACTACATAGGGAATAGGGTGACATTTGACCCCATTCAGCCTTCAGATGTACGATGACCGCTTGGCCTCCTCACCATATCGTTAGTGCCTTCATCATCAAAGACATCCTCGTGGCCTTCGTCTGTCATCTCTCCCGCCTCCACGTCTCCGGAGAGGTCCGCTGTCTCGGCATGGAGACACTTATACACACCTCTCTGTTTCCTCTGGACTGCTGGGGTAAGAGGGGATGAGAGAGAGAGAGAAGACGAGGTCAGGTTAGAGGTCACACAACAGGACACACACAGCCTTCCCACTCTTACCTGCCTCTGTGCGATGCTGTCTCTCAATCCTCTCCAGACGCCCCAGTAGAGAGTCGATCTTGGTCTTGATCTGGGACAGCTCCCGTTTGATGGTTACCAACTGGTCGGTCTTTACTGGGAATATACAAAACGGATAAGAAAAACAACAGAGACACATGATGTTTCTTGAAAAGAATATGCTTCATAACTGTGACTTCACCAAAACAGTTCTGTCAGAGAGTAGGAGACAGAGCGGTGCAGAAGGGGAGAGAGGGGAGGACAGAGATAGGACAGGGGGAGGAGAGAGGAGTCGAGGATTGGACAGAGGCAGAGAGATTAGAGATGGGACAGGGGGAGGAGAGAGGAGTGGAGGATTGGACAGAGGCAGAGAGATTAGAGATGGGACAGGGGGAGGAGAGAGGAGTGGAGGATTGGACAGAGGCAGAGAGATGAGACAGGGGGAGGAGAGAGGAGTGGAGGATTGGACAGAGGCAGAGAGATTAGAGATGGGACAGGGGGAGGAGAGAGGAGTGGAGGATTGGACAGAGGCAGAGAGATTAGAGATGGGACAGGGGGAGGGAGAGAGGAGTGGAGGATTGGACAGAGGCAGAGAGATGAGACAGGGGGAGGAGAGAGGAGTGGAGGATTGGACAGAGGCAGAGAGATTAGAGATGGGACAGGGGGAGGAGAGAGGAGTGGAGGATTGGACAGAGGCAGAGAGATTAGAGATGGGACAGGGGGAGGAGAGAGGAGTGGAGGATTGGACAGAGGCAGAGAGATGAGACAGGGGGAGGAGAGAGGAGTGGAGGATTGGACAGAGGCAGAGAGATTAGAGATGGGACAGGGGGAGGAGAGAGGAGTGGAGGATTGGACAGAGGCAGAGAGATTAGAGATGAGACAGGGGGAGGAGAGAGGAGTGGAGGATTGGACAGAGGCAGAGAGATTAGAGTACTAGACATACACTGAGGTCCTGCAGCCGAAGACACAGAAGTGAGCGGAAGAGGTAGATGCGAGGACGGAGGAAGAGGTCTGGATGAAGAAAAGGAGGAGGAAGAGTCAGAGCATGTCCTGACAGGGAACGAAGATTTGATTCGCCGCAGGGACGGAACCACAACACGAGAGCGTTTGGCGGGTATTGGCGCCCGAATGGGGGGTGCCACCATGCGCCCATGGTACTCAAATAATCTGAGGAGAGGAGAGAAGGGCAGAAGTTTCAGGAAGTAGCAGAGTTAAATAGGTAAAGCAGAATACATTGTTTTCCAAAGGAAATACTAGAATAGAACCGAGCAGAATGATTTCCATACCTGCTGTAGAAATCCTCTCTGTAGTCGTAGTCAAACTCATAGCCACTGTAAAGACAGAAATAGAGATGTACCTACAATAAGCCACTGATACGATGCCAAAACAATAAAAAGGATGTTGATCTGTCCCTGGGATGGTTGGATGACACTGATTTTGTCCCTACTCAAGGGATAGTTTTAGTGTAAGTGGTTTTATTAATGTAAGTGGGTTTTAGTGTAAGTGGTTTTGATTAATGTAAGTGGTTTTATTAATGTAAGTGGTTTTAAAGAAAGTGCTCTTCCAAGAAGGAAGTGGCCATAGCTGGCACAAAAAACGGTTGAGAAATGCTCTTTTAGCCAACTCTATTTATAGAGTAGTACAAAGTGTTTCTATGATTTTCATGCTCTATTTTGGTACTTTCTACCCCTTTTTCTCCCCAATTGGTAGTTACAGTCTTGTCCCATCGCTGCAACTCTCGTACAGACTCGGGAGAGGCGAAGGTCGAGAGCCATGCGTCCTCCGAAACACGACCCTGTGGCTGGCTTCCGGGTTAAGCGAGCAGTGCCAATGTGTCGAAGGAAACACCATACAACTGACGACTGAAATCAGCGTGCATGCGCCCGGCCCGTCACAAGGAGTCGCTAGAGCACGATGGGACAAGGACATCCCGGCCGGCCAAACCCTCCCCTAACCCGGACGACGCTGGGCCAATTGTGCGCCGCCTCATGGGTCTCCCAGTCGCGGCCAGCTGCGACACAGCCTGGGATCGAATCCGGGTCTGTTGTGACGCCTCTTGCACTGCGCCACTCGGGAGGCCGTGACATTCAATTTCTATGGTCATGCTATGACCCTGACCTGTAGAGAGAGGAGAGGGGCCTCTTGGAGCCCACCAACTTTGGCCTGTAGGGTCTGGGCTCTCCCGCCATGTTGATGTCTGGAATACAAACACAGCAGCTTCAGGATCACTGTCTGAACACTTCACACAGACCACACACAGTTTTAGAATCCCTGGCCAACTGTCAGCTAAGAACCTTTTTAAATTCTCACTCTATTCTTAATGTGCACCAATCCAGTTTTAGACATGAACATAACACAGTTTCAGCAGCTACGCTTGTTTTAGATAATGTGTTAAATTGCTTAGATGATAAAAAATAATAGTGCTGCCCTGTTTATAAACCTTTCCAAGGCCTTTGACACTTTTGACAATCACACTCTCATTCAAAGGTTGACTGAAATAGGCCTGGATCAGGCTTCTTGCAAGTGGTCAGACAGGACGCAATGTGTGATTTCTGATGTTGTCAAGGTGTTGGTAGAGCTGCAATCTGACTTTGTTGCCTTACAAAGAGCCCTACTTGGTTTAAAACTTGTACGTAATGTGGGCACAAAAAATGTGTTGTTCTCTAATTCTTGCACAAAAAAAATCTGACGTACTACATATTTATTCATTGAATGATTCTCCCTTCGATCGGGTTCCCGCCAATAAAAATATCTGGCCTTTTGGATTGACAAGGATTTAATGTTTAAAAACACTGATGAACTAGTTAAAAAGCTAAGATTTAAAGTGGGCTTCTTTTTTAGAAATATATCTTGCCTGTCCCTGAACAGCAGGAAGCAGATTGTACAGTCAACTTTCCTGCCAGTTCTTGACTATGGTGACTCCATTTACCAGAATGCAACAGCCACTACTCTTAAACCTGTGGATGCTGTCTACCGTAACGCCCTTCGCTTTATCACAGGTGACAGTTTTAATACTCACCACTGCATCAGAAGGTTGGCTGGTCCTCATTAAAATCCCTTTTTGGTTTACAAAGCTCTACTACACAAGCTTCCGACTTACAGAACTTCGTTATTGAAGTATAAAGACATGAGTTACCAAACCCGGTACAGGGTTGGTTAACTTCCTCAGGTCTCCACCATATTAGGTAAATCCGCTTTTAGTTTTAATGCGCCTCACTGCTGGAAGAATTTGCATTTTACTCATTACAATTGGATGTTCTGGTGTTCGGGCAGTTTAGGGTGGTGATTGAGGGCCTAGTAGCTTAGGAATGGAACTGTTTTGTATTGATTGCTGTTCTGTTTTACATTGTATTGGTTGTCTTATTGTTGTGATCAGGGCACACTTGGGAATGAGACCCTGGTCTCAATGGGTTTTCCCTGAATAAATACAGAATAATACAACCGATAAGGAAACATCTGCACACACACTGACACCACTGACTCGCACCTCATCCCTGTCCCATTCAGAGTGGCAGCTGCCCAGAACACTGGTCGGGGAGTGAGATGATATCAGTGTTGAAGCGTCTGTCTGTCTGTCTGTCTGTCTGTCTGTCTGCTCAACCCTATGAGCCCTGAGCTCTCAAGGTAATAGGACACACACACAGCAAACACACACACACACACAGCAAACACACACACATACAGCAAACACACACACATACAGCAAACACACACACATACAGCAAACACACACACACACACATACAGCAAACACACACACACACATACAGCAAACACACACACACACACATACAGCAAACACACACACACACACATACAGTAAACACACACACATACAGCAAACACACACACACACACACATACAGCAACACACACCACACCACACACCACATACCAACACACACACACACATACAACACACACACACACATACAACACACACACACACATACAGCAAACACATACACATACAGCAAACACACACACATACAGCAAACGCACACACACACAGCAAACACACACACACACAGCTCCCATTAACTTAGGAGGGCATTGTTTCTGGATAATGTAGTCCATCACAGATACAGCTACAATAGATCACACAGTGCCTTTCTTACATTCATAGTCTGTGAAGGACTTGATGAACAACTCATCCATTCTACAAAAGACACTCTCCCCTGGACTCCTGCTGAGGTCACTAATGACAAGAGTGGGACTCTTAAGTGAACACTGTGCCGTTCAGCCAGGGAACACAGTACTGTGATTAATGTCAGTCATTATACTAATCATATAATTGTGTGCTTTGGGGTTGAGAGAGAGAGAGAGAGAGAGAGAGAGAGAGAGAGAGGAGAGAGAGAGAGAGAGAGAGGAGAGAGGAGGAGAGAGAGAGAGAGAGAGAGAGAGAGAGGAGAGGAGAGAGAGAGAGAGGAGAGAGGCGAGAGAGAGAGAGGAGAGAGAGAGGGAGAGAGAGAGAGAGAGAGAGAGAGAGAGAGGAGTGTGCAAGACAGGGTACACACACATGAATAATGTGTTGCTAAGCAATGACCACGACTTAAGAACATGCACATAAATATGATTTGAACTCTGAACTTTTACAATGTTCTATTTTGGCTAAAAGGATATCAAAGGACATATGAAGTGCTAGCCATCCCCATTTAGCAGAGTGTACAGCATTAGCAATTCTCCTCTCTTTAAACCGTTCTCATCCCTGTCCACAGGCTTTGATGGAGGAACAGCCTGTGTTTCAGAGACTAGAAAGCTGCTGCTGAGAGCACTCACAGTCACTTGGTCTATGCCTCCCTTTTAAGAAACGACAGTCCTCTATTGGACTAGCTATCTCCTCTTGTCTACGTACAATAAAGTATGGTTGAGCGAGTGAACAGCAGGTTGTGTGCATGATTGAGAGTTTCGGTGTGTCTTGAATTTTAAATGTGAGAGACCTCTCGTCGTTGGTAACAGATACCATCAGATAATAACTGTGCTTTTAATGTCTGGGAGAGACAGGTATGAGTTCTCTAATCTTTGTTTAAGGGCATGGCTAATATCTACGGTTCGGTATATGGCTTTCTCAGGCAGGAGACTGGCAGAATGGAGCATTTTTTGTTTTTTTAATCAAATGTTTTTATTGTTTTTGGTAAACATAAATGTATACTTTTTTTAAACTATTTGATATTCTATGTGTATCCATCAGCGCTCCCTACACGTCTTTTCTCCAAATAGCTAATGGTGATGAGCAAACTTGTGTTTTTTTGGCACAGAGGTTTGGCACCTCATACCTGCCAGAAAGAGCCTCTCCTACATTAAAAACTAAACCCCAAAAAAAGGGTTCCAAAAGGGTTCTTTGACAGTACCCATAGGAGAACCCTTTTTGTTTCCAGGTAAAAAAAACTTTTCGGTTCCATGTAGAACCATTTTGGGTTCCATGTAGAACCCTCTGTGGAAAGGGTTCTACATTGAACCAAAAACGGTTCTACCATTGAACCAAAAACGGTTACACCTGGAACCAACAAGGGTTCTTCAAAGGGTTCTCCTATGGGGACCGCCGAATAACCATTTTAGGTTCTAGATAGTACCTTTTTTTCTAAGTGTGTATAGCCCCCCTGCTGCTGAGCCAAGACAGCCCGGGATTCAATCCAAGGTGCGTTATAGAGCAGTGCACTAGATAGCCAACAATGCGCCTTTTAAAGGCATTTTACCCAACGTTTGCGGAGATTGCATTCCCGATAAACGGCTGAAGTGTAAATCACCTTTAAAAGTGAAGTGAAATGTGTTTGTCGATAATGCGCCTTGGATTTAATAGATAAAATAACTTGTAGCTAAGGCTTCTTTGCCTAGTATCCATACTAAATGCATTGTTTTAGCGACCTATAGATACCAGGCAATATGACTCTATAGTCAACACTGTAACTGCAATCCCATCGCCCTTTTTCGACAATGCACCATTTAAAGGTCATTTCCGATTGAGCTGACATATACACCGTTTACCATGAATGCGGTCTTCACGAACGCAGGAATATTGCCTTTTAAAGCCGCATTGTCGACATCGCTATACAGATTGAATCCCTGCCTTAGGCTGCCCACTACCTAGGCATTTTAAAGCATATTATGGCATTTCAACTCCAAAACACAGTCTATATACTATAACTGCAATTAGGCTTCCAAGGCATTATCAAAGGCATATGATGTCATTCCAACACACTCCTTACATCACCCATGTGGTGCAGGGTTTGCGACCCCACGTGGGGAAAAAGAGAAATAGAACCGAACCCTAATGTCGGTAACCTCCGGTAGCCGCTAGATGCGTTTGTAATAAACAGAGCAGTTTCTGTT